ACAGTTTATTATATAGATTTCATGGGGAGTGCTTCTCAGTCTTTTTTTTTCTTGGTGTTCTCAGGTCAAAGCTTACGGGAGAGGGGGGGGGGGGTTGGTTGTTCTTGACTTTTTTGGACACCCCCCTAAAAAAAACAAAAAAAGTTTTACATTTAAGAAGCTTTTAGCCCCCATCCCAATAAAAAAAACCAAAGAAATCAAATAATTTAATAGATAATTGTGACACCACAGGAATTTTCTAAAAATGTGTCGCGGGTTTATACTGCAGACAGTTTGGTCAGCCCAGTGGTCCCCTTAATATGCGTTGCTCTGGGTGCCATGCTGCCCTTCCTTGGGAAGAGCTATGAGAATGGGGCAAAGAGGGCAATCACGGCGGGCGCCAAAATCTTCTTTAGATAGGATATTAGTAGTGAATTAAAATATCACAGCCCATGCACTTGAGAGATGTGGGGGGCCAAAAATCGTCTTTTTACTGATCCGCTGGGCACTTTTTCTGTATATTAAGTGGCACTAGTTTCCGGCTTCGCCCCAGGTGCATCATTTCCTTCGCAGCAAACAAACAACAGTAAAAACAGACTAAAATAAAAATAGAAGTAATATCTGAGAGGGCGGCAAAAGAATGATGAAGTTTGGCATAAGCGCCGGGAATCAAAACATTATAGGAACCACTGAACTAGCAACTTGAAGATACAGTGGATGAAATATTACTGTGATACTGCTACTACTGAGTACTATTGAAGCGATATCTGGCTAGTTGATTAGTGAAAAGAAATGGCAACATTATGACTATAATTCCTACACAACATGGCATGATTTTTAGAGCATTGGAGATATAAATAAATATGCTATTTTTTGGATTGTCAGATAGAGCTGAAACTATTCACTGCGCTTGCATTTGCGGAGAAATAAGATAAGACAAATGGAAATAAGACAAGCAAGTGGTCGCTGCCAAAAGTACGGACAAGCCGGACAACGAGAGGAGAGTACGGAAAATACGGACGCAAAAATTAGTGCGGACAAGGGGGTCGAAAATACAAACTGTCCGAACTAAATACAGGCGTCTGGTAACCCTATCTATACTGACCTGAATGTTCAAAGATGCACTTACACCAACATCTTATCAAATAAATAGGTCCCATCCCGCAATAACATTTCCTAGGGAGAAGAAATTCAATTCACTCTTCTTTGAGTATATAATTATTATGGCAGAGATAGCAAAATGAAATGATGTAAGGTAAAAGTCATTTTCCCTTCCCCTGAGCTAATTAGAGACTTCTTCAACTAATTACCATGTTCTTCTAGTCATATCCAACTAATAGAAGAAATTTTTTTATTAAAGTGTTTAATTCACTAAATTTGATTGACTTTGTTATTGTTTTTTTTTTTTCTTATTAATGTTTTCCAGTTATATTCTGACACTGTTACCATACTGAACTGCTATATAGCAGTTAATGTAGACAGCTGATTTTTAATCTCACATCACTGTTGGAGTAAAATCCTTAGAGAATAAGTGTACCACTCATCCCCAAAGAAAGCCGCACGGCAAGGAAAAGCAGAATTGACTCATATCCAACCAGGACCCAAAACATTGTGTGTCCCAAGTGGGGGAAAGCTTTCCAGGCACAAATAAGACTGGAAGACCACCTGGGTTCTCACAGTGGAATATAAATTTGGTCATCTTAGCATACAAGTGATGAACAACAACACTGCCACATCCTACTTCTGTGGGAGAGAAGTTTTTTAAAAAGAATTTACCTGCTCCCCAAGAACCTTAAATGTCAATGCCAGTCAGTCATGTACCCTTAGGAAGGGATAATCCAGGGCAAATTTCTTAGTTCAAAGACAGAAAAAATATTATCATAAGTCTAAGACAATTATATCAAGAAAATAGAACATTAAAAGGAGGGTTTTTTTTAAAAAGAAAGAAAGCTTTTTGATCTTTTCAATGTTTGCCTTTTTAAAAGTACACAACAAGACATGAAACATTTCACTACCAATGAATCAATAAATTTAAATTTCATTCTTCTTTTCTTCCAGACAAGTCTGCTGATAGCAAAGAAGCAACTAATCAAGACAACACATTGACAGCACCACCACCACCTGATGTCGTGGAGCTCTGCAGGGAGACATTTCAAAAGACGGCAGAATATTTAAGAGGAGAATTAGATGGTAGATACAAATGTTTTTATTTATATTTATCTCAACGAAATTCCATTTTTCATTTAAATCTGCACATAGTTGTAATAAGTTCAAATTTTATCCAAGATTGTCCTGGAAGTACATTTTATTATAACTTTTCAAATTTTTTTAAGAAGATCAATAAATTTATTTTTTACTAAAAAGAAGACATTGATCAAAAATTAAAATTTAAAAAAAACATTGATAAAAAGGGGATTTGGAGTTAGTTATTTATGTTGAAGTAAAGTAATGTAGATTGCAAAATCTCCTATTAATCACCAAGGTTGCTAGGCCATTAAATAAAATGTCAGTTTCACAATCATAAACAACATCACATTAGAAATGAAGACACTTTCCGGACTGGTTTACCTAAGTTGGAAATAAACCAAGGTAAAGGTCATCCTGAGAACATTTATTGTTGACTATTAACAAATTTAAACAACATTTACCTGTTAAAAAGTTATGCGCCATACTTTTTTTCTTTACAGTCATTTTAAAATTGAATTCTTAAATAATTTATAATTGGGATGCCTTTTCCTCAAATATAATAATATTCACGCTGGTAGACAGAAAATGTGTAAAGAGTCTTAGTTTCCATGACTTTGAGATGATTTATTGCTTCTTCAGGAACCATTGAAGACTATAAATTATTGGAGAGAATGAATAAAGTTACAATGACCAAGTACTCAGAGATGAAGCACATTGCACTGAGTATAAGCGGAGCATTGAAGGAACTCAATGATAAATGTATGTTTTTATAATTTATTTATTATGCCAGAACTGAAATTCTAGGAATTTAAATTTATGAAGAACTTGAAAGGAATCTGTCTGCTTGTATCAGAACTAAATTATAGAATAAATAATTTAATTTTTTTAAAACTGAATGATAAGTTCATTTATCTTCAAACAGAGCGTTGGGTGTTTGGAAAAATCAATTTCTTTACTGGTTTTGGTATTCTTCTATGGAGTAAGTCCCAATCCATTTCCCCCTAATTCTCTGATTTGTGAAAGAACATAACGCTCAGCATAAACTTAGTCTTAAATTATTGCACAACACAAGTGTGCACGTCTTAGTTGTTAAAAATAAACAGCCCCCATCATTTTCACTCTGCAAATCCTGATTGTTTCTAGATAAAAGCCTTCAGCCATACCTGGAGCAAATAGATCAGATAGAAGAAAGTGTTACGACCTTGGAGCAGACGGCCTACAGTCTGGACCAGTACTCCAAACGTTTAGGTATCAAAGCAGCAATCACAAACATTTTAGTCCCTGTCAATTGATAGTAGATCTTTCAAATATAATATTTTTAAAATTTATATTAACATTTTGTCTTTTTGTACAAAAATCTAAAAATATTAATTTAGTTTTTAGTCCAAGAAACTTCATGAAACAAACAAAATGTTTCTAAATATTATAATGAAATGTGGCTTGTAAATTTTTAAACACTATATTCTTAATGTAAAAAAACCCCACCACTTTGCCCACATTTAGTTAGATCCAGGGATTCCCCCATGTCCTGTAAAAATTTTTTGAAATTCCATTAAGGGAAAATACATTTTCTGTCTTATGATCTAAACATTTTTTTTTTTTTAAAAGTTGATTTTAAAGTTGTTAGGTTCATTGTGTCTCCTGTAGAATTCGGAAAACATGAACTGCACATTTATAGTTAAATAAAGCGTTAGCAACAATAAGTTGGTTTTAAAAAAACGAAAAGAGAAGAAAATTATGAAAAATAACTACTAATAAAAATATATTTAGTATCTGTTGAATTTTTAATTTTTTAAAATCAAAATACTTATTTAAAATGAATTTATGCATGTAATCCTTTCAGAAAATAAATTTAAAGCCCTGGAGAAACGCTGAAGAAGTCAAAATAACTGCAAGCAGTGCAATACAGCAATGGAATGTGCTGAGTACGAACAGTTGCCATGGAATCACACAATTCATCATGAGATTATTGTTTGTTGTGCATGAACAGATTTGGGTGGTTGCTATGCAAATGGGAGATAATTGTTTACAAGGTCTCCGTGTGGGAGATTCTGTTTTTATGTTTATTGAGTAACAGGCAGAATATCTGGAGCCATGGTGACGACCCCTAAACTTGTCAGTGTCTGGCTTGGATTTTTAAGAATGGAGTGATTGGCTGTGATACCCATGTCTTATTCGTACTTCCATTTTATAAATGATATAATGAATAGTGTTTATGTTGTATATGTGATGCCAGTATGTGATGTTTTGAAAATATGCCCTATCATTATCACAGTGATTGAACACGACCCGGATTTAGTAAAAGTAAAAAAGGAATTTTTTAATTTAAGTCATTGGAACACTAACGAGTTGTTATAAATATTTTTATAACACTGAATATTATTATTATTATTATTAAGGTGATTTTATATAGCGTAGTCCCCAGCCTAGGGCTAGGCTCACTGCTGTACGCCAGGCTAGGGCTAGGCTCACTGCTGTACGCCAGGCTAGGGCTAGGCTCACTGCGCTTCACATAAAAAATGAGCAATTACAAAAGATTATACATTTGAAAACAACAATTGGTAAAAAGCTTAACCTCACCTACCCAAGTACTATCTACCCTTTTCTAGCCATGGACGGCACCCAGCAGCATCGAGTGTTGTTTATCGGTTAGAGGGTGAGGGGAGGGGGGTGTGTGAGAATGAGTTGGTATAGTAGAGTTTGAATTAATGGCCTGCAATCTTGTAAATTAATATCAAGTTTGATTGGGGAATTGAATAAATGGAACCACCCTGACCTGATGAACAGGATTTGAATAAGTCATTCCACCAAGACATGTATGACATTTGAGATTGACCAAATTATGTTGTTTTTTTGTCATGTGACATCTAGCTGAAGGAGCCGGATCACCCTGACAAATGTCATGCCCCCCCCCCGGCTGTCAACGCCCTGTCCTCATCGTTTGTTTTTTTATGATCATAAAATATAATTGAATTATGTGTTGTGGTTAAGCTGGGCGAACATTGAGTTGTTTTAATGTAATTGATTCACTTTCAGTTTGTCACTCTGCCATGTTTCAGGCCACTTACCTTTTTTATGGATTGCATCCCTTATTTTACCTTCGTCAAAATAAATGTTGCTGTGTGTTACAAAAAAAAGTCTTGGTAATAGTTTGTAAGGTAATCTTTAGCAGACTTTATCTTTTGAACATAGATTCAGTTCATATGTGTGACATACATTGGTCAATTGTTTATTTAGACCGTATCCATTTAGGTACTTTGTAGCAAATAAGGAACGTACTGGTAGCAAATATGGGACTTACGGCAGCAAATATGTGACACACTGGTAGCAAATATTTAACATACATTGGTCAGTTGTTAATTTAGACGGTGGGGATAAATAATGTGGTGATTAGCAGTTGAGTTACCAAATTTATTTCACCAAAGTTGCTGGAAAATGCTCATACTCTTTGTCATGTAGAAAAACTCTATCCATTGAATAGTGACCGTCGCGGTAGTGTGTCTTTGACCTCCATGCCCCCACTTACACATCTCTGAACCTTACTCTTACATTGACTACTGTAGTCTAAGGCCAGCGGTCATCCATTTAAATGTAAATTCAACATGGTCAATTATTTGGGTAATGGGAGGATTCTGGGAAAATAATCTATGACAGCTATAGAATCTTAACACATATCCCTTCAATCGTAACCCATATCCCTTCAATCGTAACCCATATCCCTTCAATCGTAACACATATCCCTTCATATTTTCAAAAAGCCATTTCCCATTGTTCACCTGAAGCAAGTGCTTCGCTTCGTTTGCCTCACCCTATTTTCTGGCCCCTGGACTACGTCATATTGTTTGACAGATAAGCCTTTAAGAAAAAAAAGCTTAGGATATGTTCAGGCTTGAATCGAGAACACCGTTACAGAAAACCCCAATGTAACGTTAAATAGTTAATACAATTTATATTCTATAAAATTGGTAATTTCTATCCTTTAACAACAGAAACGTTTGACTATAATAGAACCCCGAACCCACCCAAATCCATCTAGTTTATGGCTCTACATCTATTGGACATTCAGGCACCAAGAAAATGGTCGTACAACCAGGGATTCAGAGCAGGATTTTTTGGCCCAGCTCCTCTGCGGAAAAATTATTATTATTATTATTTTTTATATCATATATTATTTTTAGGTTTGCACCAATCAATCCGCAGGTAATAGGTAATAAATCTAATCACCCCTTTTACAGATTCATTGGTAATCTGTCCTTTATGACCAAATTAGTTTAATGGTTCTCTTTTTTTACCACATGCCTACATTATTAACAACATAAATGTACAGTTAAAGTGTTGCAGTGACTTAAAAGATAATGCATTCAAAAGATCATGAAAAGTTACTATATTAATCTGATCATGTGGACAAAAGTGGGGGGGGGATGATTGAGAGGGAGATTGGGGGGTGGGGCTAAGTGATTACAGAAATGTGTTTATTGTTACTGACCCATTTTATTAGCTAGATATTAGAGTATGCATGTACCAGCAACATAGCTGGTAGAAGAGTGAGGCAGCATAGATGTGTGGGGCAACATAGCTGGTAGAAGAGTGGACAGCATCGTGTAGAAGAGTCGGGTATCATGGCTGGTAGAAGAGTGGGGCAGCATAGATGCAGAGTGGGGCAACATGGCTGGTAGAAGAGTGGGGCAGCATAGATGTAGAATGGGGCAACATGGCTGGTGAAAGAGTGGACAGCATGGTGTAGAAGAGTGGGGCAGCATAGATATAGAGTGAGGCAACATTGCTGGTAGAAGAGTGGGGCAGCATAGAAGTAGAGTGGGGCAACATAGCTGTTAGTGGAGTATATCCTGAATAGCTCCAGTTGCTACACACCTAATAGACCATTTAAATTTTCCAGTTAGTCGTTAGTATGTGAAATTTGATGATCAGTACAAAAAACTTGTTTTCGGTACCGGTATATTAAAAAAAAAAGTTCACACCCGGCTCCAACCCCTACACCCCCCCCCCCCCCCCCCCAGCGTTGTTCTAATTTCATGATAGCCTTTATGTAATAAAGACTTTGGTGTTTACCCCAGTGCTTGAAGACCAGAACTAAACCGGCGCCATGAGGTTTCTATCCTGAATATACCAGCACTCGCAGGAAATGGGCAGAAGAGACGAGGCGCTTTGCCATACTATAGGCATCAAATTCAATGTGATGAAGACGAAGGTCATGAGGAAATCAAAATGGTGATGAGGAGGACAAAGATCACCCTGAACAGCAGCCCAAGAAAAGTACCTTATCAAGACAGCAAGGTCACCATAGGTTGCGAATTTAACAATGGCTGCGGCTATTCGGACCCGGCTGCGGCTATTCGGACCCGGGTCCGAGAAGTGAGAGTTTGGGTTAATTAAAAAATATTTAAAATTTGTTGTAGGGTTTGTATGACAAAATGAGGTATCAAATGAAAGATAATTGAATGGACTATATGTTAGTAAACTTACTTCTTCAGTTTAAATAAAATAAACTACAACAAATGACATCCGAATAGCATTGAGTCAAAATGGACCCGGACACGCAGCGCCTCTATTCGGACAATGTATGGGCCGATACATTTTCACACAGTCCGACTTGTGTGGCATAAGAACAGCTTGATCAAGTTTGAACATTGGTCGGCAAATCGCGGCTCTTTCGTGACCTGAGGTGCGGCTCGCCCAGTTCTAACACAAATCGGTCTTGGCTCCGAAAAGCAGGGTTCTGGACAGGTTCTTGAAAAGAAATTGGACTCAAATTTCTAACAATTTTTTGTGGGGGGGGGGGGTGGGCTCTTTTTGACATAATGAGTTTGCCGACCACTGGGTTAGACGAACGTTCATTTAATGCACAGAAAAATTTCTAGAGGATTTTTAAAGTCGTTTAAAAGATTTTTGCAAGCCTGTCGGAGAATTTTATTTTTGTTGCAGGTCCAATTTTTTTTTATTTTTTTTTTTTGTTTGTCCTTCATAATGCTGACAGGACAGCTTTTCAACAGTCAAACTGCTCTTCAGCTTGAAACAGCTGATATCCAGGGAAATCGACATTGGAAACTGAAGCTTCGTGACCAGAACGTATCAGTCTTCTGGTGAGGATTGCTTGCAGGATTATAGTATCCAAATTTCAGGAGATAAGGTTTGGATCACAGCCTGGTCATCTTGATGCGAGATTTTTTAATTTTTTTAATTCAAACTCACTGGGCTAACGAACCATTTTGATTTGAGTAATAAAAATCAAGTTTCTTTATATTAAAGCCTGTGAACCATAACAGTGTTGACTTCCATTACTAAAATAAAGTTAATGTTCACTGTTATTCACTAGCTTAACTCTAAAAATAGAATAACTTTTTAAAAAAAATGGAATTATGCAAAATTGAAATCTTTAAAACTAAACTCGGATTTACAATAAAATGTTATATGGTGCCCTATGGAGGCTATGGTGGCATCGGCCGTAGTGGCATTTAAGCGGGATTGCCTTAGGCAGTGGATACCGCCTTCTGGATATGTCCAAAACCAAAATCTGGACCTCGGGCCTAAGATTTAGTGTACTCTGCCATACACAGGCAGCTCAATAGTTCATGTAACACATTCAACGATGGATGACCACGATTCTTATCTTTACACAACAGAAGGACCCCCCCCCCTCCTCCACCACGTGTAGCACCTTCCTTTAAAAAAAAAAATCATCAGCATTACCTTTTTATCTGCGATAAACTTAAGGGTGGGACAAAGCGTGCAGTGGCGGCCACACTGTTGATAAACTTAAGGGTGGGACAAAGCGTGCAGTGGCGGCCACACTGTTGATAAACTTAAGGGTGGGACAAAGCGTGCAGTGGCGGCCACACTGTTGATAAACTTAAGGGTGGGACAAAGCGTGCAGTGGCGGCCACACTGTTGATTTCGTCAAAGTCAAAGTTGCTGAAGTCTAAATAAGTGGTCTTTGCCTTTTTAGCCTTGCTATATTAAACCGATCGAAACATTTCTCTTAAAATCTTGTTTCACGAAATAAATAGCGTTGCAATTTAAGGCTGTACATTTAACCAGGGAGCAATCTTAAAATGTATTTTTATAAAATGCTAACATGGGCCCAAACATTTTTTTTCGATTTAAGACCATTAAAAATTGCCATATTTCCGGAGAAAACGTTTTAAATATCGAAAAGAGACCACGAGACCACTTTTCCAAAAGTGACCTCTCCCCCAAGCTCCCCTTGGCTTCGCTAACGACAAAAAGTTGGATGTCTTTCTTTGTATGTTCAAATAAAAGTCATACATACTACGTATGTTTCCCTTGCGGCGTGTCCCCGCTGGAGTAACAGTTACGGCCAACCAGAGGGAGGAGTACTCTTGTGAGTATTAAAGGCATCATCTTATTTTATTGTGAACACCCCTTTTATCACTCTGCGCGAACCCACTGTAATTGTTTGTGTGTGTGTGTGTGTGTGCTTTACTCTGACGCTCTTACGACACTCCATCCTATAGGATGTATAGGTTTAAAATAGTTTTATTAACTACGTCCCTGTTGTCTGTCTTATCTATGTCAAGTACTTCCTACGTGTATTCTTGCTAAATTAAAGGCAGAATTGAGTAAATGTGTCCCTGCTATCTTTCTTATCTATTTGAAAAGTACTTCCTACACGTATTTCTACTAAATTAAAGGCAGATTTGCGAAGGGTTAGAGCGACTATTAAACCTTTAAAAAAAAAATTCTTTACCATAGTAACATGGTCACTGGCATCCCATACATAGAAATGAACGCTCAACTGAGCAGTTGGTTAGGTGCCGTCCATAAAGTAGGCTACGTCACGCTGTTTTTGGCCAATGTTAACCCTCCCTCCCCAACGTCACAATCGGTCAAAATTGTCAGACCCCCCCCCCCTTTTTTTTTTTGATATACGTCACACTTTCGAACTAAGAATAAATAAATTAACAACCAATTAAAATTTGATCTAAAACAATTCGTTATTAAACTATTCAATGTATAAAAGTGACATGCCCTGTCAGGATACACCCGTGACAATAGAAAGCTTAACATCACTGTCATATTCAGGTTTTATATGTACTATATGTGATTAAAAACAGCAAACCTTTCCCTTCTCTTCTAGTGTAGTATCTCCGCCTTTGATGCCGGTTTCGGCTATATATCTTTTAGTCCTTACAAAATTTAAAATTAGATTTCAATATTGTTGTTATAGCCATAGCATGTGCCGTCCATCTAGTGATGTAGCCATAGCATGTGCCGTCCATCTAGTGATGTAGCCATAGCATGTGCCGTCCATCTAGTGATGTAGCCATAGCATGTGCCGTCCATCTAGTGATGTAGCCATAGCATGTGCCGTCCATCTAGTGATGTAGCCATAGCATGTGCCGTCCATCTAGTGATGTAGCCATAGCATGTGCCGTCCATCTAGTGATGTAGCCATAGCATGTGCCGTCCATCTAGTGATGTAGCCAGTGGCGTAGCGAGGGTGTTTGGCGCCCGGGGACAAGATTCGCGCCCGGGGACAAGATCCATTTTTAGCGCCCCTTTTTCTTTTTTTCAACTCTCAAACCCATTATTTTCATCAATAAAATATTATCAAAGCACATTTTGGCGCCCCTAACTAGCTGGCGCCCGGGGACATCTGTCCCCCTGCCCCCACCACGCTACGCCTCTGGATGTAGCCATAGCGTGTGCTGTCCATGTAGTGTCTGAGAGGGATTTTAAAACACTTTCGTTTCCAAGACAACTTTTAAGGATTCGCCACCGGCTGGTTGATGCTGAAAAACAATTATTACACAGAACCTTGAAGAAGAAATTAACGACCACTTCGTAACACTCATGCTTGAATGATTTGTTCAATGGGATACACAGGGTAAACACAAAGCAAATTGGTTTCTTTCAATAAAGTTTCTTGCATCCCCTGGTGACTCCCAGAAATGTTGACAGCGTCATCATAGGACTGACCTATACATTTCGTCATCATGGGACTGACCTCTACATTTCGTCATCATGGGACTGACCTCTACATTTCGTCATCATGGGACTGACCTCTACATTTCGTCATCATGGGACTGACCTCTACATTTCGTCATCATTGAACTGACCTCTAATTTTCTTCAACATATCAAAGTTTTCTTCTGCGAACCATTGAGAATAACGAAATAAAACAAATGACTTATCCGATGATATGGAGAGTAGATAGCAATTCACGAAATGGTCAAACTCTCCACAAGAGGGTATATTTATAGTTAGAAATCCAAACAACTTAACCTGCGACGTAAGCTAATTTTTGAATCAATGATCCATTTGGATGGCCCTAGTTTTAAGATGACAAAAATGTGTTACTGTTTTAGAACTTTTACTTCTCGGCATGAGTGTGAATTCAACTTTGAACTCTGCAGGGCTCAACCAGCGCAATATCCAAAAACCATTCTTTGAGACCACAACTCTCGTTACACAATCCAGGAATAAAATTTGGTCTCAAGTCCGTGAACGCAAGAGCGCAGCTTCGACAATACTTGTATCATGACAATATGAGAGTCACCAGTAGTAACATAATTATAGATCAGGATAACCGATAGTGTGTTTTCACCAATGCAGGCGCTGCTATAAGATAGTACTTACTAAGAATAGGAGAATCGTGTCTGCCAATAGGATGTCATCTGGCAACAGGAAAGCACTCGCAGACAGGGGAGCCCAAACTATTCCTAATATGTAAATTTGCATCGATCTCCGACAACCCAAGCTCAAACCTTAGGATCGTGCAAGATACTCCCATATCCAGCATAAGACATGCTCATGTCAACTCGGTTCTTCCAAGGATTAGTTAAATCGTGAAACGTCCAACGACAACATGGCGGGAACTCGTCTGCCCAGACTGGAGACTCTAGTCCTCCTGGCAATGGGAGGTAAGTCTGGTGGTATTTTCAAGTCCATTTCATAGTTTATTGTCTTAATTTTGAGAAGGGATGTTAATACATTTATTTTTCTTCGGCAAAAAGTGATCGGTTCTAGAAATCTGGCTTTAGATTTATACGATCCAGGCTTCGGTCTTACATGAACGCAAAAAGGGTTGGGGGGGGGGGGACGGCTTTCCTGTACTTTTTTTTTTTGCTAATTAATACATACATATTTGTTGGGGGGGGGGGGGGGNGAGTTTTCCTTTTCTTAGATTATGAGTTGCCGCATACAATTAGTGAGTTTCATCCCCCCCCCCCCCCCCCTTTTCTTAACACTGAACCTTATTTTCAACGCATTGCAAACTGTTGCTCACAGCAATGTCAAGGTCGACACGATGGTTTATAAGCACGTACCACTCGCGGGCGTAGGGGAGACGATCTTTAAGTCTCGGCATTACATTTGCCGTTTTCGTTAATATAGAGTGAGGAGGAAAATTATGGGAGAGTGCAATTTGGCAACTTGTTAAAATCTATCGCACAATAAAATGCCTGCGATGACAAGGAGACCGCCCCCCTGTCATGGCCGTCGCAACTGGTTTTTAACAGCAGTCAACTGATATCAATTCAGTGAGCGGTATGGTCAGATATGTCGAGCATTGGCAAGCAGCCTAGCAAATTGTTTTCATTAATAAAACAGCAGATTTAAAAAAAAAAGATACAATTAATTTATGACATACCGGTAACAACAAAGACGGAGTGGGGGGGGGGGGGGGAGGAATTACTGACGGGGGGCGGCATTTATTACCGACCCCCAGAACCTTCGCTCAAAGGGGGGGGGGGGGGGGGGGGCGAAGAATGACTGCCTGTGGGCAGCATTTATTACCGACCCCCAGAACCTTCGCTCAAAGGTGGGGGAGGAGGGGGGAGAGGGAGGAGGCGTCAATAGTGTTTGGTGTCTCCCCCGGTGTGATGAACTCACGGTGTCACCCCCACCCAGATCTTGTGGAATCGCTTCGAGTTTTGTTTAAATTTATTTCCGCCTCTTGGTAATGGTCATCAGCACTCTGGCGTAAATGCAATTTTGTGAATGGACTGTACGGGGCTCATACATAGACCGTTGGTTTGTTTCAATGATTTTGTGATAACTTGTGATTTTATTACATAAACTTGAATTTTATTGAAGAAAGTTAAAGACAAAATTTATAAAAACATGCATGTCATAATTTTAAAAATCACTTGTTGCGTTGATGTTTAGATCACGTTCTCTCACAATCCCCGAACTTCCCCCTTGCACCCTCTGGGGGCTGCGATCACTCCAGGTTTGGAAACCCTGGTCTAAAGGGGAAACAGTCCTGGAAATACTCAAATCTTCAAATTTACATCGCCTGATCTGATCACCTTAGACGTCTGATCAGCGTGCGATGGCGAACATGATGCTGAAATGAAACGCATACCCATGATGAGGATCTCCTTCACCGTGGTTTGCCAAGAACATTTGTAATCTCAGTGTCACTTTTTTGATGCAAGTTCAGACACGGATGATTTACGACTGGTGACACCTTAATTTTGTATTTCACTTACATTCGTCATGAAACCGACACCGAGTGAGCTCTGTCAAATTTACAATTTTCCATTTGGTGTCACCCAACTGTGAGGGTGTCACCCGTTGCGGCTGGCGCCCTCCAATAGCGCCACTGGGGAGGAGGATGCCGCAAGATAAATTAATGATTCCCTAATTTAAGTATGGTGAGCCATGAACATTTTAAGCATGGTGAATCAAGGACATTTTAAGCAATGTGAACCATGGACATTTTAAGAATGGTGAACCATTGACATTTTAAGCATGGGTTTAATGTTGTAAGAAAGTTTTCAAACAATTTACAAAGAAGACAATCGTAAAGTTTTAATGCAGTAGACACAATGGCAACTGAAAAGAAAAAAGATATTTACAACCAAAAAAAAAAAAAAAAAAAAAAAAAAAATTACACTTTGAAAAGGAAAAAAAGGAAAAAAACATTAGATACAAAAAAAAAAAAATTTTAAAAAAAAAAAGTTTTAAAACAATTTACAAAGAAGACAATCGTAAAGTTTTAATGCAGTAGACACAATGGCAACTGAAAAGAAAAAAGATATTTACAACCAAAAAAAAAAAAAAAAAAATTAAAACTATTACACTTTGAGTAGGAAAAATCGGACAGACACTTTAGTTACAAAACAAAACACTATTTAAAACAATTAAAACAACAGACAATGACACGACTTGGCTTTTAAAAATATATGGGGTCAAAAGTGGTGTCACTACTTACCCAATTAGGATAATTGGGGGAGAGGGGCCTTCAAAGACGTCATTGATAGACTGTTTATAGGGGATGTGGAAGGGGTTTATTTGTGTTTGCAAGTATGTATGTAAAAATATGAAATTTTAAACTGTAAGAAGAGCATTGGGCGTCTAAAAGAATCTCGTTACACTTTAACTTTTGATAAACGGTCAGTGAATCTTGAGAGAGACACGGATATTCGGAAAGAAGCGATCGTCTCCAAAACTGATGAGAAATTTCAGAACTTCTTCAGATATTGACAGTTTTTGTTATTGTTTCCCGAAGCAAGATGATTCCCTCTGAGTACTTCTTTGGTTGATTCACTGACTAACACTTCTGTGTTATCATGAACATTTTCTTGTAGAGCTTTTAAATGCGGGTCTGCATCACGACATCCATGCCCCACCCTCGACACGCTTCTGTGTTAGGTCACTTAGGCAAGATTGAATATGTTTCATGGTGAACTGGGGAAGTATAATTTATATTATGATTTATTCTTCCAATACCTCCAAGCTTAGCTTTCTTATTTTTGTCCTCAGCTGTTCTTGTAGGAAGCCAGAGCAGCACCAACAGAATTCCGAGTTTAGTTACAGGACAACTGACGTATTTTACCGTGCCTGAAAATGCCCCTATTGGTAAGATGGATTATACGACAATAAGTTGTTTTTATTTTCTCGTTGACCGCCTTCATTTAATAAAAAAAAATGATAACGTTATAATTATAAGTTGGCCTACAGTATCTTTGAAAGTTGAATAGTTCTCTGGGGCTTACCGGCATCATAAATGAATTCTTTTAAACGGTGTAAAAGACAAATAGCGTACAAAAAATATTATATCTCATAATTAAAAGCGCATTGTACTTGTCCTCCTCTATTCATGACAAACCTACCATAATTTTTAAGGGATGAAACTGGGTCCTTAAGTGCCACCAGTGGCATATTTTGGGGGTGGGAGAAAGGAGTGACATTTTTGAATGCTTATTACCAACTTTTATGATCAGATGCATGGGCGTAGGTGTACTTGTAAAAATGCCGCATGGTCTGCTCTAAACAGCTTTGTTATTGGGAATTTATTTGAGTCTTGAGAATAATAGTGACTGTAAATTCTGGCATATTCTAGCTTCTGATAGAAAAATGTGGGGGTGGGAGAGTCTCGAAAACCTGGACGAGAGAAAGAGAGAGAGAGAGAGAAAGAGAGAGAGAGAGAGAGAGAGAGAGAGAGAGAGAAGGGAGGAGGAGGAACTGACATGCCTTACATTCAAAGATGCACCATATTTATACACGAGCTTACACATAAATGAATCCTCGTTGTGTAATACAAACTTTAGACTTGGGCATGTTTAGCAGTTACATAAAACATGGAATTAGACATCAAGAAGTTCTGAAATTGAGACTATCTCAAATACACACGACCAATTAATTTCTATAAAACGGAGATTGAAACCAGGACATATTCAAAACCGGCCGGGACAATGTTGCTAAACCGGGATGATTCAGGGTTTAACCGGGAGGTATGGTAATTTTATAGTAGTGTAGTGTAATCTATAAGCCCTCGCTGAAAAATGATTATGCTACTGCTACTAGTAATTTATTAATGTCTTCGTCATTATGTATGCTAATAAAAGACTACTTTTAGTGGCACTTTGTGTTCATAGTAAACACTTCTTTCCTTTTTTTTTCAGGTAGCTCCATTTTCCAAATTTCAGCCACTGACCAAGATGGAGATCATCTGACCTTTAAGTACGATAAATAAATTTAACCAAACAAATAATTTATTGAAATAATTGGACAAAAAACAAACTTACAACAGCTGTCCAGATTAAATATCAGGGGATAAAAGATTTCAAGTTTTATTGACAATGTCTCAATACGATTTAGAGATTGAGACTAGGAAAAGGGGGAGTAACCTTTTTCTTTTTGTGTGATGCAAAAATTTCAACATTTTAATGCTTGGGTAAATTTATTTCTGTATGCTGCTTTTTTTTTCTTTTCTCTGAGTGTGCAATTTTCACGTTCGTGTTTTCATGTGCATTTGAGATTAGATTAAACTGTATATTAATAGCATGGTACACATCGCATTGGCACATGGCATTGGCACATGGCATTGGCACATGGGATTGGATTAAACGTGTTACGTAAATACATTTTTTATTTATCACAGGACAGCAACAGACGAAACAACTTCATTAGTCAACATACAAAATGTTGTTAATCAAGGAACTGTCTCCACATGCAAAATAACACTAAAAATAGAACTGGACTGTGACAATGTACGTATCTTTACCAACATAAGAGGAGCTGTGGAATTTTGAAAAGATGAACTAGAGTAGGCCTATACGAACAGGATTGATTTAAAAAATAAATAAATACATTTCCAGATAAAGTATGGTAAATTTCTTGTTCTCGGCACCAAAGTTTACCTCTAAAGTTATCCACAACTAGTTATAGCCCGCCAAACACTGGCGACGGCAATGCGTGAACTTCCCACCTACTAAAGTTACTTGACAAAAACGTGAACTCAAGTTACGCACATTTAAGAATGACAATTTTGCTAACCCCCCCCCCCCCCCCCCTTTTTTTTTTTCATTACAGGTCACTTCAGACTTTTTATTTCACGCCCATGAACTATATTGATATTCTCATGTATCAACCACTTTGAAACCGTACATTTTTTACCTAATCCTTAAATTGAGACGATTTAATTTCCGAAAAGAAAATATTAGGCACAAAACGCAATTGCGTTATTAAAAATAGATATAGATAATTTAGCGTAGTTATCGGGAATTATATATCGGGAATTATATTTTGCGCTCTATTGAACTCATTATTGAACCACGCTCTGGCGTATCTATAAATAGCCTATTTGATGGTTTGACCGTCTTGTTTGACCTTTGTTGGCGAATTATAGGCCTATATATAGATGGCTAAACAGCTTTTAACATGACAAGCACTCATAAGTTAATAGATATCTATATATTAACGTAGTGTAGGCTACTTAAGAAAACTTAAAACATGTCATGCCTATCTCATGGTTTTAATTTTTATCCTGCAGAGTCCAAGAAGCAGATTTCTCTATTTTATAATTGCTGACAATGTTTATGAGGTAAATAGCAAATAAAATGATAACATAATGGGATCAGTGGCGTAGAAAGGGCATGAAGAGGCCCCTCAGTTATATGGAGGGCAAGCATTTTCTGACAACTACCGTTTTTTCATGGAGGGGGTTGGAGAGGGAGGGGCAAAATTCTTAGCCAGCATAGACTAAGAAAATCATGAATCAAACTTGAAAGAATCAGGTGTCAGGCTGAAATATTTATGAGCCTAGGCCTAGATCAAAGACCTGTAGTCAATGAAACCCTGCAATTGTCTCCCACCAGTTAGTCTTATTAACTAAATTTCAAAATTTGAAGTGATTTTTTTAATTTCCTTAATAAACACATTATAAAGAAGGAATATTTTAATTAATTGTACAAATACTCTAATTAAATATACACCGCTCAATAAAAAAAAATTGCTTTCCACAGATAAGAATAAAGATAACAATGATCATTACAGACGTCAATGACAATCCACCAAGTTTTGTTGCTCTGCCTTACATAACTTCTATACCTGAGGTTGGAGCCCATTTCTACAAATCTAGACAAATGTTTTATTATTTAGAAAATATCAGATGCATTTAATTAAATTTAAATTTGAATACAATTTTAAAATATTAATTTTTAAAACCATGTCAAGCCTTGAACAAATTGGAAAGGGTTGGACATGAAGAAATGTATTATTGTGTTGTCAGTGCATTAATATAAATATATGATAATTTTGACTTTAATAAATAGGATCAAGCTGTTAACAGTGTCATATTCACGGTCCTTGCTTCTGACCCAGACACAGGGCTAGGTGGAAACATTAAATATTCTTTTAAGGTTAGTTAAACCTGAACTGAACCAGTAATTGTTATTGAACCGAATCAGTGATAAGTTTGATACAATTACAATGCTTAACCAAATGAGCTGACAATTTATAAAATTTTAAAATAAATTAATAAAGCTGTGTTTGCATACTAAATAAAATGAGTATGTTTTTAATGTTATTTTACCGCATTATGTTATAATTTATTTAATGATCTTTAAAATTTATATTTTTGGGTGTAGGCCTATGACTTCAAATGTATTTATCTTACAGTGCACCAGAAACAGATCTACTATGTAATAAATATACAATGTTTAGTTCTTTGGTTAATGGAGACTGAAATATGAACTTTTTGGTGTAAAATAAGGCATAAAAGCTAGAATTGCTCTAACCCACAATAAGTTTGCATAAAATTATGTAAATCAGTTTTAATAAAAAGTGTCTAAAAGTATTTAAATATTTTTGCATTTCTATACGAAATTGTTAAATCTGAGGTTTTAAGGTAGGCCTACTTTAAAAAGTTATTTTATTTTGTTTCAGGCCAGTATTGACGTAAGCTAAATAGTATTTGTAATATAATCATATGCTAATTTATATTTTCAAATTTAGAATATTATTTGACAACCAAACTAACTTTAAAATACTGCAAAAATGATTGGCTGTCTTGGCGTCTAAAGCAAAACTATTTACACTTTAAAAAGAAAGGATTATACCTTGATAATTGCGGAGTAATTTAAAAAAAAAAATTGCAATCAGGGCCTAGTGAGGGGAGTGACAAAGGGACTGGCAGCCTAATGGGCCAACATAAGGGAGGCGGCAATATAATTAACTAGCTATATATATAAATGATATATAAAGTTCTTAATGAGAACTAATAAGTCCCTGATATGGCTAAGAGAATTCCCCCAAATAGACGTTTTTTTTCACTAGTGAAATAATTTAATTTAGATGTCCTCTGTTCAAATTGTTTTATTTATGTGCTGAAAATGTTCAATGCAATAAAAAATTTTTTCCATTTGTTTGGCTCAATAAAAGAATCGTTTCTTGTTGTATCTTATCTTAGATACATATATATATATATATGTATATATATATATATATATATATATATATATATATATATATATATAATGTACAGATATATTTATATACCAGGTACCGGTATATATCTATTTATATTTTGGCCTATATCCACTAGGATAGGAAATTGGTCTGTCCGTGCTTACTTTGATAAGTAAAACAAATTTTTTTACATAAATTCCATGTTTCTTCTAGTCTGATCAAGCAGATTACAATGCAAAATTCGACTTAGATCCCATCTCAGGCAATATAACATTGAAGACAAGCCTAGACTATGAGGAGAGATCATTTTATCACTTAAAAATAAGCTCAATGGTAAGTAAAACAAAAATGTTCAAAATGTATATTTAAATATTCATTTTTCCTCACTAATAATCTCATTCATTTTTGTTGTAGTTCCAGTGTGGGGCTGTAATAGTAAATTTAAAAAAAAGTAAATCTTAAAGCGCTGATAAAAAAATCCTCTGAATTTGATTATTTTCATAATTGTTGGAAAATGGGTTATTATTATTTTAACTTCAGCCTTTTTTGGGCATTTAGGAAATTTGAGCCAAAATTTCTCATTATTCTTCTTATCACAGCAAGCTAAAATTTAGTGAACAGCTTAGTTTGGTGAAACAGTTTCAAATTTTAATTGATCCTCAAATTACTTAGTCTGAATAATATGAAGCTTCTTTAAACTACTTGTTATATTTCTGGGTCAAGATTTAAGGATTTTAACCCAAACAGGAAAATAATTAAATCTTATAAAATTGCTTGAAATTTCAAATAAAATCAATTTTAATTGATTCTCTGAAAGATAAAGCCCAGAAAAACTTTGTTGCAGTCACTATTTTCTTGTTTTGATATTTGTTATTTAGGATGAAGGCTCCCCATCTTGCCCAAGTCCTCAATGTATCTGTAAAGCTACACCAGAGGTGTGTAAAGCTGAACCTGTTGATCTCTTCATCACTATACTTGATGTAGAGGACACACCTCCTGTCTTTGAAGGATTACCATATATTGGAACAGTCTCTGAAGATAAGCCAGAAGTAAGTGATTGAAATGGATTTGAGGCAACAACCTTGTAGGCTTGATAAAATAAAACTTAAGATGAAATAACATAATGCCTGCATAACATCAAATTAATTTTTTTTAAATGTTAACCATGCACACCAAGTGATTCGTTTTACCGATATGTTGTATGTTTTTTTAAAATTGCCTTGAGTTGTACAGCCATGTAGGATGTTTTAAGATTTTTCACTGTATTTAGAAAATAAATTTGTACAATTTTGAAAAATGGCAGTGCAATTGATTCAAAGTTGGTCAAATGGAAGGTTAAATCCTTTTGTCAGTTTAATATAATCAACATTCTCAATGTAAAAACAAATCCAAACCAACTTCAGAAATTGACCAAATGGTAAAAAAATCTGTTTTACACTGCAAAATTAAAAAAGATACTATTTCTTCTCTTGAAGATTAAATTCAAACAAATCAAGAAATTATAAAAAAGGCAAAGGTCGCATGCATTCAAAACAATATAATTAAATGAAACGTTATAAGTTATACATTAAAAAAAATAATTTTTTCATCACAGCTTTTCATTTTGGTGTACAGATTTCTTTTTGAACTTTTGTACAGTTTTTGATCTTGTTAAAACACTCTCATATTATTTGTTATTTTGTATATTATTAATAGTCATAATTTACAAAGATTAACAATATTTTGGAAAGATACTATGAGCCTTCCATTACTCATAACTTTTTGCATCCCTAAAAACTCAAGGCAATAAATATGTTCTAAATCAGTGGTTCTCAACCTTCCTAATGCTGCGACCCTTTAATATAGTTCCTCATGTTGTGGCGACCCCCGGCCACAAAATTATTTTCGTTGCTACTTGATTACTGTAGAGCATATGTGTTTTCAGATGGTCTTCGGCGACCCCCAAAGGAGTCGCGACCCACAGGTTGAGAACCGCTGTTCTAAATAGATGAAGTCCCTTTAAAAAATATATAAACAAAGGGATTAATTTCTATACAACTTGCCCCAAAAGTTAATAAATTGTTTTCTTATTGTAATTTTGTTTATCTTTCAAGATGTAAAATAACTTTTAAAACAATTTTTTTGGTGGCATGGAGAAGACAGTAAATTATTAATGCCTACGCTTTCTCCTCACTTCAGGGTCTCATATTTTTACTTTGGTTGAACCACCTACAAAAATTAATAGAGATGACTGACACCTCCATTCCACTTGGCTATTTAACCATAACTGAATGTTGATTTCAAACCAGCTACATCTTTGCTGTAAAACATTGCATCCACTTGTGTTACTATATCTAATCCCAATCAAATAATGTTTTTGTCATTGGTGTCCATTTTTTCAAAGACCATTTTTTCCTAAATTTTTCTAAAATTAATAAAAAATTATTGTTAAAACTCATGTAGGCCCTATAATTGAAGTATTACAAATTTTAATCCTCAGGGATTTCTTATTCTTAGAGTTATTGCTTCTGATGGGGACAGGGGAGTTGCTGTCCCTAATAATGTTTACTTTACAATCTCTGGTGGTAAGAGATAAGTCATCAATATTGTATGGTTTTATTAATAAACACTTCAGTTAATATTTATTAATTTACTGTTTTTGATTTTATCAACATTCCATTCATATCTAAAAACTTATATAACTGCTAACTACCAGGAGATTTATTTTATTACTATTTGTCTGAATAATCAATGTCGAATTTTGTTTTATATTAATTATTAATACAGTGTGTGATCTTTGTTACAAATTTAATAACTTTGTTTTACAATACAGGAGATATAGGTTTATTTTATATCAATTCTTCGGATGGAACCATATCAGTCCATATCTGTTGGAAAAGCCCTTGATGCTGATACAGATGAAGTGAGGAATCGGGGAGGTTTTTATTTAATAAATGTCACAGTAAGTAACCATTGTCATAGTCATATTAATTAGGCCATGTTTATTCAAATAAAACACAAGAAATATTAATATTGTATTCATATCATATGCTAGTGTTATTAATATATCCAAATTTTATTACATAAAATGTACCTGATAAAAAATTCTATAAAAATAATTTTTTTATGCATAATAACTTCTTCACTAGTAACATTTTAATACTTTTTATTTAAGCATAAAAATAAATAATTACCGTAATTCTTTAGTGACAGTAGTCTGCCTATATATATTTTTTTATGTTACAGTTAATTTGCAAAGGAAGAACCATCTTTTAACTTTTTAAAAAATAACATTTTAGAGCTAAAAATTCTATAATATTTCATTTTACATGTGAAAATTCACTATTTCACTAAATTACTGGTGATGGGAAATTTTTACTTGACAGGCCACAGAAGTACCTGTCAACAGTTCAGTAGTTCTGAATCAATCGACAAGTGTCAGCATCACTCAAGTATCAATCACTATTTTGGATGCAGATGACAATCTTCCAATGTTTAATCAGAAGGAATATAATGCTACAGTGCCTGAGAACACTCCATTGGGTGTGCCCCTTTCAGTTACACCAATTATATTTGTAGAGGACAAAGATCAGGTCTGTAGGCTCTATAGCAATGTTATATATATCTGAATATCTGATTGTGAACTTGACTTTAATTATACACATGACTTCAGAATTAGTTGTGACTTTCCACTCAATTGCACTTCACTGACAAGCAATACCCATGATGAATTAAATGGGTTAAAAATAAGTCAAAACATTTCTTTAACAAACATTTTATATTTGACTTTCTGTTGCTTACTCATTAATGATCAATTTATCCATCAGGGCATAAACAGCAGGTTTAATTTGTCAGTAACCAAAGATGGCATGCCCTATAAGGACTTTCTAACACTGCCAGCTGAGGGCCAGACTATCCAAGGGAGATCTAGCATAACAATTACAGTGGGAAACTCCTCTATCTTGGACTTTGAAACAAGAACAAATATCACCTTTCAGGTAGATATTTTTTCTTTTTAAGTATCAAAATTTGATTGTTTAAAAAACAAAGCATTAAATCAATTTACCTTTTCCACTACAAAATCTATGAAGTAAAATATTATTTTAGAAATCTTTCAAAATGTTAAAGTTAAAATAAAGATACAACTGAATGTTGGTACTGCACTATATAAAGTTTTGATAACTAAATTATTTACCTTTAATTCCTTAGATTGTAGCAACATCTGTTGATCAGAGTGGCAGAGCCAAAAATTCTACAACAGTCACTATATTCTTGAAAATTGAGGACATCAATGACAACAGCCCCACCTTCCCAACTCAGCCAAACAGTTTCAATGTCTCAGAAAATGCTACAGTTGGTTATTTGATTGCAACAATCAAAGCTGTGGATGTTGACACAGGAGACTATGGTAAAGTGACCTACCGTCTGGAGGAGTCAGGGTTTGATGGAGAATTCCTGATAAACAACAACACGGTAAGTTCCTGGACACTTTCATTTATTTGATGGTGTATAGAGCTTGGTGATAAATTAATTTTTTTTTGCCAATACTATAAGTTAATTCCAATTGGGTAATTTATGGCTCTTAACAATTTGAAAACAAATTATTTTCAGTAATGTTTATAGCTATCATCAAAATTTCAATTCAGGGTTAACCCAAACTAATGACTTAAACCATAATGTTAAAATATATGCTGAAAGTAATCTATGAAACCTTCATGTTCTTTGATAGAACTTACAATTTTATGAAAAGTATTCAATTGAATAATAAGACTTGCCAACACATCACTTGTCTCATGTAAAGCACTGAAAGTTTCTTTCAACTTCTATTTATATACAATACAACTTTAACATTCCCCATATTTAATGTTTACTTAATGAGTCGGAATTAAACATACACAAATTGCTATCTTAAGGGTGAACTGAGGGTTGCTAAAAGTCTTGACAGAGAACAGAGATCTTCTTATATGTTGATTGTTGATGCCACAGACAGCCCATCTTTACCAGATGATCAGCGCAGACGGTCAAGATTTAGTATTGGGGTTCATGTTATGGATGTCAATGACAACAGTCCAGTATGGGCACAGGTCATTCCTTTCATTACTGTGTTGGAAAATACTGCAGTTAATACATCAGTGGCCGAATTATGGGCAACAGACAGTGATGAGGGGCTGAACAGGGAGGTAATTTATATTTATTGCAATATTTAATTAATTTTTTTAAAACTTTAATTACTTTAAACAAAAATAAAGAACACACAAATATTTGTGTAAATCATCATTCATAAACATATGAACTCACAAATCTACCTCCTTTCTCAACAATAAATGTAATTATTCTTCTATCTTCTGTCCATCAGATAGTGTATTCTATAGCTCCAGGCACGAATGGTTCTGACTTATTCGCTGTAGGCCAGAACAACGGGAGAGGTTATGTGAATGTCCGGCAGTCCCTCATTGACCACTTTGGTCTGAGATTTGTGATTGTAACTGCAACAGACAAGGGTGATCCATCAATGATCGCCAGCACAAACCTGTCTGTGTTTGTTGTTGATGAGAATCAACACAGGCCTGTCTTCACAAAGCCCAATGAGAACAACTACAACAGCAGCGCTGGAATATTTCCTGACATTGAAATTCTAGAGGTAAGGTCAGATGGAAAGTTGCGTTTTTTTAAGGTAATTTACTATTTTTAAGATAAAGTTTTCAGTTTTTCAAATACCAGTATTCATTAGTCATGACAGCCTAAGTTTAAAGTGCACCATTATCCATTATCATTTGTGTAAAGAGCATCTTCACTCTTTATACCCTTTTTGTAAAGTACATATTTAAACATTACACCCAATACAAGCAGTATGTCATCAAGTCAGGAAATGACAGATGCCTGTAAATAAATTTCAAAAATCAATTGTATTCTTAATTTTAAAAAAACAAACAATTGAGTCCTGTAAATATGCCCCTATTTTTCATTAAAAAATATAATTCTATTTTTACAGGAACAAAGTATTGGGAGTAATCTGTTTCAGTTTCAAGCACAAGATGCTGATGCAGGAGAAAATGGCAGAGTCAACTTTTACCTTCTTTCCACTACCAACAAGGATTACGAGTACTTCAAGCTACACAGAGCCACCGGGAATTTGACGTCAGTGAGCAGGCTTGACCGTGAAGACAAGGATGTCTATGAGGTTGTAGTACTTTTAGTGTTGCTGTGGTTGAAGAAATTGTGAAACCTAATTATATTTTATTTATTAACATATAGATCAATGAATCTATGGGGAATAATGTCTTACAGAATAAATTGGAACAGTATTGGAATGGAGAAAGTGGCTGAGATAGTTCCAACAACACAAAAAGGGGAAAGACTTTTTCTAGCATGGAAATCTAATACACATGATTATTAATAATATAACAGGAGAAAAGAGAACTTGCTTTCAAGATTATTTCCATTCTTTAAAGCAAAAAACAGGAGGGTATTTAAATACAAAAAAAATAGGAATTGTTTAAATATGGCAATTAAGTTATTTTTTTGGGATTCAAGGCCTGTCTTGAAGTATTTAACTTATTTTGAATTAAAGTGAATGTGTCTTTTATGTTTTATCAAAATAATAATCATTTTTTATAAGATTCAAGTTAATGCTGAAGACAATGGACAACCAGCCCCATTGTCCAACACAATGACATTAAGGGTAAAATTAAAAGATGTTGATGATAATCTGCCCATTTGTGATGTCACAATGCCACAAAAGATGCAAGTTAAGGAGGAAATAAGCCCAGTTATTATTGGACAAGTGATACCAGCAAGAGATAAAGATTTACCACCTTTCAATACAATTTGTTACTTTCTTTATGGTAGGTTTGAATTAGACTATACGACATGATGACCATAAAAATAGGTCACCAAGTTAATGTTGGGAAAATCATTCATTAACTAATAACTCTCTTAAAACACACAGCCCACAATTAAACCCATTATTTGGTGCGCAACAATTATTAGTGAACTCCCAGACTCTGACAACATTATTCTAATGGAATGAAGAAATTAGATTGCTAATAATAAGGATTGGAATTTGTGGCAATTACTAGTTAATATTGTATGGATATCACATTAAGTATTAACTTTATTCCATTCCTAAATTAAAATGTTTTAAATGACTAATTTATACAACTTTAATTCGCCGAAGATTATAATCATTTGTTATATTTGATTTATTATCTTATACAAATTTTACCAGAGAAAAATGTTAACATTTTAAAAAAATGTTACAATTCAGGGGGAGACAACTTGACCAGTTTTCAGCTCAACAGCACCAGTGGGGAGCTGTCATTAAGAGATAAACTGTACCAGGAGACAACTCAGTTTCTCTATCTTGTCATCAAAGCATCTCCACCCACTACACCATCATCAGGTTGTCAGTACACTGACCTTCCAGCCAAGAGTCAGGCGACCTCATCGAAGGCCACGTCAGATCTGACTCCCCAGCCCTCTACAACTCATCTGACACATCCTTGCTGTGGCTGCAGGTGGTTGTTGTTGACATCAATGACAACCCTCCCAAGTTTACCAGCCCTCTCCTGTCTACTGCTGTCATAAATGACGCTGACATTGGCACACATGTCATGACACTTACAGTAAGTTACAATCTTTGTTGGTTTATTTTCATACTGCTGTTGGGGTAAGCGAGAGCTTTGTCTGAAGTATTTTGATTGAATTTATTTAAAGTAAAATTAAAATAAATGTTGAATAATTTAACAGATAATGGCAATGAAGTGTTATAAAAATTCTTATTCCAAAAACATTGCCTTTAAAATCTTGTTAAAAGAAAGTAACTATTTGTTACCAGAAATTAACACTTTGCTGTTAATAAAAAGGAAGCATACAAAGATGTCATATTATTTTTAAAAAAGGAATGTTGTCTCTTTACAGAACAGTGTGACTGATGCTGATACCCCCATAAATAGCCAACACAAATTTGAGCTTTTGTCAGTCACTCCCAAGTTAGCAGAAAGCGGAGTCCTGGACACAGATAAAGCAGCTTTCATAGTAACAGAAAATGGAAACATACAAACCAACATATGATTTCCTTCTGATCTTCTTGGCTACTTTTCACTGAGTGTTAAAGTTTATGATGAAGATGGTTTGAATGACATCACTGAAGTTAGGGTGAGTAATTCCCTTTTTAAATAAACTGATGCCATCCGTAAAAATTTCATTTGTCTTGGTCTTATTCAATTGTATCCTTTTCTATCAATCTTCACAAAAAATAATTTTAAATAAATTCTTCTATGTCTGTATTTCCTAAATTGTTTAAGTAAAACAATTTTATTTTTGTCTGCTTCAGATCAAAATTTTCTTAATGAATTTTAAGTCTTCCCAAATTGTGATTTGATGTTGGCAAGCCTCACATAGCCTTTGACTAAATATTCTAAAATGAGAATCTGTGTATAAATACAATTGAAAGACTTCATTAGTAAATTTGGCAAACAAAAATTTCACCATTGAAAGTTACACTTAAAATGTTGGTCTTGAGACCTGTGTTTGATGGTCAATATATCTCAACATTGCACACAGCCCATACAATGCTACACCCTTTTGAGATTTAAAAAATGAAATACTTTCAAACAGTAATTTTTAATCACAAAAAATTATAATACTTATCAATAACAGCAAATTTTTGAATTGTTTAATTGACATATTTTGTTATTTAAGAAAAATATTATATGGTTTTATTTCCTTATGTTTAGAGAACTTTGTGACCTCTCATCTTCTAGTACTGTAGACACCTTGTCAGTGGCTAACCTTGAATAATAATATTGTCTGGGGGGACTCTCAAAACCTGCTAGCACACACACACATCATATATATTTTAACAAAGAATTTCCCCCAAATATTTCTTTTCAGGTGAGTCACCCACTTTGCACCCCCCTAAGTGCACCACCGCCCATTGTAAACATGTAAATAGTTTGAAAGACTAAGCTTTCAAATTTATATACATATACCGGTATTTTGTTCATTTTTTTTTCAAATTCAAATGTTTAAAAAATATAACCATGATTTATTGCTTTATATAAAACTTTTTTATGCTTTTCATTTATTCATTAGGTATTCATAATCTCTAATCTCCAACAGACAGTCATGATGGATGAAAAACAGCAGAATGAAATGGAGACTCTCAATAATCATTTAGTAAAGTTTGTAATAAAAAAAATATTATATCTTTCAATTTATGACTTTTAGACAATATTTATTATAAGATCATTTCTTTGGGAAACGGAAATCCCCCAAACATCTTATTGCATTTTGATTGTTTTTCATAAAACACGCAAAGCTCTCTTGAAAAGAACTCAATAACGAACATGCCTATTAATGATACATTACCTGCCATGAATCACATTAATTTTTAATTGTTAAAATAGCTTATTTTGTCAGATATTAAGACACCTGTGTGACAGTGTATTTTGTTTCATCTTATCATTTATTGGTAAAAAAATTAAAAAAACTTTAAATAAAACTTATCCTCAGAAAACTAGGCCATTGGAATAATGAAACCAGGACAAGTGTTGACCCTTGAACCAAAATGTTGGTACGCGATGGTGAGAAAGCTTGTAATATAATATTTAATCCCCCAGCTGTCATCATTTATTATAACAATTTTTTGCCTGTTAAATAAGACAGCTTTTACATGATGAGTCTTCAAACCTCTAATAATAAAACCAAAAATTTACAGAACTATTTTAGCTTTGTTGACTCAAATGATTGACAGGATGGGTGGCAGGATGGGTGACAGGATGGGTGGCAGGATGGGTGGCAGGATGGGGGACACGATTGGCCATGGGGGACACGATTGGCCATGGGGGACACGATTGGCCATGGGGGACACGATTGGCCATGGGGGACAGCATGGGGGATAGCATGGATGTGACAAATAGAGCTAAATTTGACAAGTAATGTCTGCAGTTTGTTTTAATTTTAAAAAAAACCTTTAAATTTGTATATATTGTAAATTTCTGTGATGACTCAAATACTGCCAGGAAACCTTCATACTTACAAACACTAGATGCTGCTTACAAGTGCATGGGAGGCAGCGGTTGCATTATAACAGTGTTAGACATGGTACAACATGGGCAAGGTACAGCATGGGCAGGGTACAACACTACTGTACGACCTA